CGACGGCACACAACAACAACAACAACAACATGGGCTGCCAGAATGAACAGATCTGTCTCGGAAGAAGTACAGCCAGAATGTTCCTTAGAAACAATGATGGCGCAAGACTGTTTCTTACATACATTTGACATGTTATCAGAAAGGATCACTTCCCAGAGAAGGACATCAAGCCTGGCAGAGTGGAGGGTCAGCAAAAAACAGGAAGACTCTCAACGAGATGGATTGACACAGTGGCTGCAACAATGGGCTCAAACATAGCAATGATTGTGAGGATGGTGCAGGACCAGGCAGTGTTTTGTTCTGGTGCACACAGGGTCAGAACTGTCTCGATGCCACCTGACAGCAACAACATGAGTACAGCAGGAAATGTTGGACTAACAGTCTGGAGTCTGCTTTCTTGATGAAAACTACAGATCATTGGAATGTTGCTTGATGAGAATGTCAGTTTTTTGTTGGATGTGATGTTTCCTTCCAACTCAGATTCTGTGATTCTATAATCATTAACAGTTGACGTGGTTTTGTCTAAGTTGACAACCTAGACATTTGATTAATGTTTTTGGTTTGTCTATTTATTTTAATTCCCTGGGCTTAGCCCCCAGGTATTTCTGAGTTCCTGGTTAGTGTACAGTCATCCACTGTACCTGATGTAGGAAAGAGAAGATACTTTCTGTCCTTCCCACACCAAACAATACAAAAAAACAAATCAGTTGCCATGGAGTTGATTCTGACTCATGGCTACCCCATATGTTGCAGAAAAGAACTGAGTTCCATAGGGTTTTCAATAGCTATGACCTTTTGGAAGCAGATTGTCAGGGCTTTCTTCTAAGGAGCCTTTGGGTGCATACAAAATGCAAATATTTGTTAGTACCCAAGTGCTTCACCATTTGCACAATCCAGGGACTCATGACCTTCTCATAAGTACTAACTTTATTGTTATAAGATGTAAGGCCAAGTTCTAAATCATTCCAACAGAATGCTAGAGTTTTCACTGCTGTTTCTCAGGCATGTCCATGATAGCAAGGAACTTTGTCCCTTCTCTTCCCATGGGGATGGATGTCTTTTTCCTAGGCACTCCACGTAAGAAACTGTAGAACATTTTAATAGTGTTCTTCACACACACAAAGCACAATGATTTCTAGAATTATAAATATTTCAGAATATTTTAATTAAAATTTTCTGTTTGTCTTTCAGTCTTCAAGTCCCTGATTTAAGGGCACAGTGAAAGGCCTGCTGTTTACATTCTACTGAAAGCAGCAACCTCATGCTCTGAATGTTGCTTCTTTAACTTCCGATTAGCTCTGGCATGATCAATTCTACGTCGCCACAGAGAACTACAGGCAATTAGTATGTGAAGCAATTTACTTCCATAGTGATAACTGCCTCAGAAACCCAAGGAGGGGTCACTATGAATCGGGTCTGACTCGACGGCACATAACAACAACAACAACAACAGACAATTTTATACAGATAATACGCAGATAATTCTATGCAGAATTTCTCATTAATATCCTGATGCATGACCTATTGCCATTTTCATTCCTGGCATTATGATTGTGGAGTCTCTAGTGCATATGGTTAATGCACTTAGTTTTTTCTGAAAGGTTAGAGGTTTGAGTCCACCCTGAGGCACCTTGGAAGAAAAAGGCCTGGTGATCTACTTCCAAAAAAACTGTTCAGTCATTGAAAATCTTGTGGGACATAGTTCTACCCTGAAACATATGAGGTCACCATGAGTTGGAAATCATTCAGTGGCAACTGTTAACTGGGTATCAGGATTACACATAAATCTAGATTAGGGTTCCCCAGCTGCCTAGATCCTAGAAAATGGATTCAGTTATCTATTTGGTGAGTCAAGTCTACCTGGGCAGTCTTCTGCTAGTAGGCTTGTGTCCAGCCAGATACACAGTTTGGGCACTGGGAATTGCTCCCAAACTACATGCTTTCTAAAGTTCTCCAGAAGCAAGGTTACATCCTTCCTCCATTTCTGTTTCTGCCTCTAACCATTTGTCCTTCCAAGTTATCCAAAAGTAGCTGATTTAAGACCTGACCCTCAGTATTTACTTCTAGCTAAACCTTGTTTCTCCAACTGGATAGTTAAGTCCTTTTGCTGACAGGGACTATGCCATTTCCTATTTGCACTTCAACACCTAGAACAGTGCTTGGCATATACTAAATACTTCATGCTCATTCAAAGACTAAGTGAAAAAATGAACAAATAGTTTCCTTAATGGATATTTAATAAGTAAATAAAACTAACTTTCCTTTAACCATTTTATTTCTTATACCATAGATACTGAGACTATTTCTAAATTCTCTCCAGTGTAGAGCCCATTTCTAAAACAAGACACTGCTAAGTTCTGAATTACAAAATACCTACACATCCTAGTCCTATAATTACATTTTTAAAAGATGCAATCCTAAATGAATGATTTACACTTATCTTGTCTGAATATTACAAGTTTGTCTTTGTGTATAGGTAGTTCTTGTTTTCCCTTACCTCCTATAATGTACCTGGAAGGAGGAGTGTCTTTGCACTGTCATCTTTTATCACTAGCTTGACCATTAAGATGCCTGCAGATGTAGTATACGGATCCTGGGGAAGGGCACCAGCTATGCTGGATGATGAAATCAGTCTCCCAAACTGGGAAAATGGAATTCTAGGGAGAACTAAAGAGGATAAAAGGCAAAAATGTGAGCGGGGGGGGGGGGGGGAGTAATTCCAGTACAAGATAAGGAATATGAGGAGAGCACACATGTGTGGAAAGACCTTTGAGCTGTTGCCATTGCCTTTGGATGTTTTCTTTTCTTTTTTTAAATACTCTTAAATCTCAGTTACCTCATCTGCAAAATAGGAAAAATTCATTCATTAACTATTAATATTTATGTGCCAGGTACTTTTCTAGGACCTCACAGAGTTTATATTCTAGAAAGGGAGAGAGGTAATAAATATGTAATCTGAGGTAGAGATGTGTACTGTGAAAAAAACAGAGCACACATATAAAGCACTTAAAGTAGTACCTGGTGTCACAATAGCCAAAAGGTATAAAAAATCCAAAATTTGGTCAACTGATGAATGGATAACCAAATGTTTATTCATACAATAGATTATCTAGGCATAAAAAGGAGTGAATTGTTCTCATGCTGTGACAGATGAACCTTGAAAACATTATGCTGTCTTTCTTAACCAAGCCAAACACAAAACACTACATATTGTATGGTTCTATTTATATGAAATATCCAGAATTGGCAGATGTAGAGATAGAAAGCAGATTATAAGTTGCCAGGGTCTGGAAGCAGAAAGGAATGGGTAATGACCGCTGAATGGGTATGGGGTTTCGTTTTGGGGTGATGAAAGTGTTCTGGAACTAAATAGTGGTGATAGTTGTACTACATTGTGAATGTCTAATGGTAAATTTTGTCATTGTATCATACAATAATAATTTTAAAAATGTCTGGCATGTTCTAGACAGTCAATATATATGATAGGAAAACAAAGCAAACCAAACCAGGAAATTACCTGAGTAAATTATTAAATAAATTTCCCATAAATGCTAGAATGCTATGCAGACTTTGAAGAGAATAAACATGATCTATTAACTATAGAAGGAGCTCTGGTGGCATAGTGGATAAGGCACTTGACTGCTAACCAGGTCAGCAGTTCAAACCCACCAGCTGCTCTGTGGAAGGAAGATGGGGCAATCTACTTCCATAAACATTTACAGTCTCGGAAACCCAATGGGGGTCGTTATGAGTCAGAAATGACTAGATGGCAGTGAGTTTGGTTTGTTTGTATTGTTGGTATTAAGAATTAACATAGAAAGATGTCCAAGATGTATTTAGTGGAAAAGAAAACAACTGAATAGCATATATGGCATGATTTATGTTAATATACATACACATGTGCACACATGTTCCTCTACATCTACAAATTGGACTGGGAGGATATACACAAGATAAATGAGAACAGTGGTTACCTCTGGGGTGAAGGATGAAGGAACAGAACATTTTTTCCTTCATACCCTTCTCCACTGATTGTGTGACAATTCTTAAGACTGGGTTTTAAAATAAGTACATAAGAGTTAATACTGTGTGTGGCAGTTAAAAAAAAATCCATCTGCTAATAGATGCAATGTATAAAAAATAAAGAATCTAGAACATGTGAGGAAGTTACATCTTGAGAATTAAAGTTGATCATTTCTGGGCCTCTTATGAGGAGTAAACTGGACAGGTAATCAGTAGCTCACTGTAAAAGTCTTTCTTCAATGCAGTTTCTGCAGGTGGTTAAAGGGACATGTTAAGTTCTTCTTCACAGAGTACCTAGCATTCCACAAGTGTGAAAAATATTTCCTCAACATTCTGAGAATTCCAGATAAAGGGGAAGACATGAGATGTTTTGAGTTTTTATTCAGTCTTTCCCCCTTAGAAGAAACTGTTGTTGTTGTTGTTACTTGCCATCGAGTCGACCCCGACTCATAGCGACCCCTCCTTGGGTTGCTGAGGTAGTATCACTACGGAAGTACATTGCCCAGTCTTCCTTCGGAGGAGTGGCTGGTGGGTTTGAACCGCCAGCCTTCTGGTTAGCAGTCAAGTGCCTTAGGTACTATGCTACCAGAGCTCCCTAGAAGAAACTAGTTACTGTCAAATTGATTTCAACTCATGGTGACCCAATGCGTCAGTGTAGAACTGTGCTCCACAGGGTTTTCAATGGATGAGTTTTCAAAGTAGATCACCAGGCCTTTCTTCTGAGATGCCTCTAGGTAGACTTGAACCACCAACCTTTCTATTAGTAGTGAGCGTGTTAACCATCCGCACCACCTAGAAACTCTTTAAATATTTTATTATTAATTATTATTATTTTTAATGGTTGCAGCAGTATATTGACAGGGAACTTACAGAAATGCATACAAACTCTGTAAATATTGCAACTTATTAAAGAATGTCTTTAAAAATTAAACTAATATAAGATTAGAAGATATTTTAAAAATCCATCCATAAATCTGAACTCTTAAAAAAAAAATCATTTTATTGATCCTTTACCATACAAAATTTATTCAAATTACACCCATTTGAAGTGGTAAGATCACAGCTAGAGAACAGGTCATCCTGTAACAAATCTATTTACAAAATCCATCATAAAGCGCCTATTTTTTTTTTTTTTTTACATTATATTACATATTTTCTTTTTTAAACTAGCATACAACACAAAGTTAAACCGATTAGTAGTTTACCTACTCCCAATTTTGGGAGAAATACTTCCTTTTTACAAAATCACGTACCCCATAGGAAAAGAAATCCCCACAACCTGACACTTGCCACCTGACTTCCTCTCCAAGGCATCTTCCTCCTCTCCTACACACAAGTTGTCATGCACACACTTACTTTCTTTTTCCTGAAAGCTAAAGCTTTAAATACTGCAATTTTATTTACAGATCTACACTTACAACAAAAAGTGAAAACAAGAACCACAACAAAAGACAAAAACAAAAATACACTCTTAAAAAATTACAAATCAGCTAGAAAATATTCTGGCAGTGTTTACAAATTAATTTTTTTCTTTTTTGTACAAAATTGCTAGTTAATGATGAGACAACTACATAACAACTTAAATAAAACCATTGCTATGCACAAATCTGTACATATAAACACACACCTAACACTGTTTGACAGCTCATGTGTTGCCCTTTATACACTTTAGTTTCTAAGGCTCACGCAGTCATAATTTGCACACTTGTAACTTTTAGCCATTTCATGTGTGAGCTTAATAGCAGCAACTCAATGGTACCAGGAAATCTGCATACTTAGTACTTAGAGTAACACAAATACTGTAGTACTAACCCACTTTGTGTGCCAGATACTATGTCAAAAATAAAATGACGAATGCAAACAGAGTAACATATGGGCCATCTAATTGATGTACATCAGTTAAGCCCATTCACTGGAAGAATCTGACACAAGAAGGTACGTTTATGACTTATTAGTATTCCTTTCATTTTGCAAAAACAATAAATACAGCATTACATTACCAAAAGGTTTAACGAGAAATTAAACAAAACACACAACTACCTAGGCCAGGTGAGCTCACTCTTTATAGACGACTTTGGAAAAAGTCAGCTTTGTGCAGCTGGCAAAGAGAATTACACAAAGCTGGAAGCAGAGGCAGCTAACCAGATGAGATAAATATGGGAAATGGGGAAAAACTTGGCATAAATGGTTTCCCATAAAGGAAAAAACCCCACAGTGCATTTCCAGTAGGCACTTAACACAAAGCTTCCCCTCCCTCCCCACCCCAATGCTTCATCTCGGACCAAGTCCAGTGTGTGTGAGGGGAGAAGGGTGAGGATGGAGGCTGAAGAAAAAAGGAGGATAATCTGCACCTTTGTTTTTCTTCCCAAACATACACCCATGCATACCTACACAAATAGTTTAAAGTGCTGGTGTCACTTGTGTTGACCCCACCACCACTTTGCATATTGTGAAAATCCATCTAAGAGTAAACTGGCTAGGGCATTCTTTCTCTCTTTTTCTGACTTTTTCCTAAGGGATATTTCCATTCCATGAAACATATTAATCGAGTGCCTACTATGTGCCTACTGCTGTGTCAGGCACATAGCATTTCAATTTAACTGTTCCAGTTTGTTTTTTGAATGACAATCCCTCCCTCATTCCTGGAGTCTTTAGTATCCAGGGAAATGGATCTGGAGGTGCTATGTCACATTCCTGGTGGGAGGTGGCCGTCTCCACCTGCCAATGGGGAAGCTATTCTTGGACACACCAGCGAGGATTTGCAACTTGGGATACCATTCCCAAAGCATAAACCAGGAGACGCGTTGGCAACTTATCACTTCATTTTCTAGGGTCTGACTTCCCTTGGTCCAACTTACTCCTTCACAGATGAAGGGGAACAGGTTGTGGCCAGAAGGACTGTAACAGCACCGGACACAGTGGTAGCTCCCTCTTCTTACCAGCTTTAAGTAAATGACACACTATATCCTCACGGAATGGGCAGGTCTTTCTTCCTACAGGCCTCCCCATTTGATCTCCCTGAGTTCAATATAAGAGAGCCCAGTCACAGGAGCCCAGCAAGTCCAAGGATGGAGGGACCTATCCCTGCTGCTCCTTGGGACTGCTAACCTGGTTCTCCTTTCAAAGGGGCCACCATGGTGGTGAGCCAGGCCTGACTCACTCCAAGCTCCCCCTCCAGCGAAGGGAAGCTTTACGGGACACTCTTCTTGCAGAGGCTGTTAAAACTTAGATCACACAGGTTCAGATAGGCTGATCAGTAGAAGTTCTCTCCCTCAGCTTAACCAATTTGAATTAGCCAAGAACCGCTTCCAAGTAAACAATTAAATTGAAATGGTGATGGGTGCCACAGGAATGCTTAAATGGCAGCTAACACAAATAAAAAAGTTTAAAACAATCCACAAAGAACTCCTAAGTAGGCATTGGCTACAAATAAACTTTAAATTTACAAAGACGCTGGGGCTAGAGGGGTGGGAGTGGTTTATGGAGACAGAAAAATCGACAACTTGGAGTGGCAGAACTCTATAATTCTTCTGTATTTGTGACAAATATATGAAAACAGGTTCTTCATATGGAAGGCTGTGGAGGTGCTCTGGACCTTCTCGTGTGACAAACAGTACATAGCTTAAACTGAATCATGACAGTAATTTAAATATTCCTAAGAAGAGCTGAAGAAATCCATTTCATACTTTTGCATGACTTCAAGTTAACATTTCCTGCAGTTCCATTCCATATTAGCAGACCCCAAAGACATGCATTCTGTGGAGAAGGCACGGCTTGAAATGCTATTAAGGAAGATTGCTGTTTTCGAGTGGGCCAGGTGGCCAGACACCATTCTACATACAGCCCATCCGTCAGGCACAGCAAGCCAATCCGGGAGGGAGACACCTGATTGCACATTTTCTCACTTGCTGACTCATCCATGAGATTGGAGCCTGGGGCAAAGCAGGGCTTTCCCAAGGGAGCCTGCAACTGTGCGTTTTGACAATTTTTTTTTTTAAATTTATTAAAATGTCAGCTTTGTTTTGAAGTTTGTAGTTTACTTCATGATAATATCTTGGAGGAAGAAGGTAGGAAGGGACAACACTGCATGACAGAAGTTCTGGTTCCATAATAAAAAAATATTGGTTTATAAGGAGGATTAACGCAAAGCATATCAACTACACATAAAGTCTTCCACTAATGGGAGCTTTTCCAAATCGTAAGCATCAAAGAGATCACTGATGCCTTCTTCCTCCCCAAGGCTTAGTAGATAGTCTTCTTGGAGCAGGGGAGGCAGTAAGTTTACAAACGGTCCTTCTAGGTTGGAAGGAATTTGGTCCTCAGTCTGCTGTAAAAGATTGGTGGGAGAGGCCAAAGGAGAAAGGTTTGCCATAGAAATGGAGCAATCGCTATGTCCTGAGTTGGTTGAAGTCAAGTCTGAAACGAAAAGATTGGTGGCAACAAAAATAAGTTCTAGAAGAAAATCAAGTTAATCTTTTGGAAGAATATATATGTTGTGTTATGAAAAAATATGAGGGGAAAACAAAAGTATGTACTTTCAGCTAAAGACAATCACGCTACTTTTATCATATAGATCACCTTTTGTGCTAACAGACATGAAAGAGTGACTGGTCTTTGTTCTACTTTACTCACTCATATTTTTAAATAATTATCTTTGGCAAACAAGAACGCACATAGTTTCAAAGAGTAGAGGCTGACCAATTCAAAAACTTTTCTGGTATCAATTAGTTCATTGTTTATAGAAAAACAAAATAAAGGGAAACCAAACCCACAAACTGAGAAGTTGGATCCCTTGTAGATAGTAATCCATTTTTAATTTTGTCTTTTTTGAACAACCAGCTTATTAAAAATACTTTTAAAAACACAAACAAGAAGACATGCCCACTTTGAATGACTAGGATGGAAAAAAAAAAGATGGTCTTTTGTTTTACTACTTGTGGTATTTTTGTTCAGTACTAAATCAGACCTATTCACTCCTATTCTCTCAGATACACTGGGTGATGGGAGGGGAAAAAAATATTTGTCAGAAAAAAAAAAAAATAAAGACTGCCCAGAGCCTCTTTTGCTCTAGAGGAATAGTGGGAGAGAAGAGTTAGATTTTCCTGGAGGTTTCCTCTTATACCCTCCCACCATCACATAGGGGCAGGGTATGTGTGTGGACAGGCACGATAAAGACAACAGCTCTTAGATTACAAGTTTTTCTCTCCAATTTTTTTCCATTTCCCTCCCTAACGATCTCTGCAGCATCATTCAGAGGAATGTGGCAGAGGTAGTTGATGATTCACCAAGAAAGGCCACTGCTATACTCCTAACTTCACTCAAGTTTGCAAAACACTGTAAAGAAATGGTTTCTGCCCATTGTATAAGCCTGAAGGGACTCTGCAAGTGAGTGGAGTAGTTATGATTTTAGACTGGATACCACTAGTGAGAATGTCTTTTTTAAAATGTAACCTTAATAACACAACAAAAGTAGAAGTTTCTGTTTCTTGCCTAGACTTGTCATTCCAATATAGTAGGCTCATTCTTGTCATCTTCATTCTTTACATTGTTTTTGAATGACAAAAGTGGATTTTTTTTTTTTTTTACCTTTGGAAGTGGGTTTAGGGATATTCCCATTGTGGTCTTGGTTGTTTGTTTTCATTGGACTGTGTGTTTCAGTCTCTTCTGGACACAGGTAAACCTCAATGGGTCCTTGGGTACTTGACAAATGAATTTGTAGGCTCTATGAACAAAAGAAGTGGGAGAAGTTCAAACTGAAAATTCTGAAAATGGAAAATATGGGTAATTTTCATTGTTCATTTTGCTAATCCACAATGACAGTCATCTTCTACACTAGGCATTAGCCCTCCTAACGATGGCTCACAGGCCCAATCTAGCCCGTCAACTGGTTTTATAAATAAAGTTTTATCGGAACAGAGTCACATTCATTCCTATTCATGCATTTCCTCTGGTTGCTTTCATGTACAATGGCAAAGCTAAATAGTTGTATAGTTGTAACAGAGACTTGATGACTCCCAAAGACAAAATTATTTACTATCTAGCCACTTTGCAGAACATTTTGCCAACCTTGGCTTTAGAGAAAGGAACACATTTTTGGGGTCAGTATTATGAAAAGAGGACTATGGATGATGTAAACTGTGTTCTTTAAATATACTCTCTTTTTTTGGCAAATTATTAAAATATCCTTTAATTGTTACAAATACAGAATTTCCCTTTTTGTAGAAGTTCTGGTAGCATAGCGCCTAAGGCACCTGACTGCTAACCAGAAGGCTAGTGGTTCAAACCCACCAGCCATCCCTCAGAAGGAAGATTGGGCAACCTACTTCTGTAGTGATAACTGCCTCAGAAACCCAAGGAGGGGTCGCTATGAGTCGGGGCCGACTCGATGGCACATAACAACAACATTCTCTTTTTGAAGAGTACTTTTATGTCGAAATTTAATAATCATCATTCTTAAGAGTAGGAACTGAGCCTAATAAGAGAATGCAACATATTGATTTTAAATTCCTCCTCATCTAAATCATAGTTATTATTGTCACTTAAGATGAAACTCTACTTTAAGCGGGAACTTATGAATTTAATTCTTTTTATCTTCTATGTACTTTTAATTTAATTTTTTTACTACATTCTTTTATCTTATGGTTGTAGTCTGGGCCTATATTATCAAAACATATCTGAAAACAATCATAAAAATATGCTCCCTATTTTGTTAACAATATTTCAGTTTATCAATGAATCCAAAGTCCCATTTGATTCCTTAAAACTAAGCATGCTATAAATAATAAATTCTTTAAATGTGTCAAGATAAGTTAGACAGATACCTGAAAAGTTTCATATCCCTATTCATGGTGAGGGTCATATATAGGATAATCAACATACAATTACCTAAACTGCTCAAGTTGATCATAAACACCAGATAACAAATTATGAAAAAGACAAGAAAGTATGAGATGGGTAGGACATCATATACTACTTTGAGTTGGATGACCCATCATGTTAAAAATTTTGAACACTCAATATCAAATTGTCAAAATGATTATTAATTTTAGGGATAAGTAAAACTGTTAGGAAAGAATTATGAAATTTTTAGGAGGGGCAGACTTCAAATATGAGTCAATAACTCTTCCACTTCAGGCATCCCAATAAGATCCTTGCAGATGAACAAAGATGCTGTCTCCTTACCTCTAGTGGGTCAGGCACTTCAAGTCTTGTTTCTGGAGGGGCTTTCACAACTATAACAGTTTGGTCTTTAAGGCCACTAATTTTTCGAATATCTTGATATGTAACATAGGCTAACGTGGTTAAGTGTTAAGGAAATTTGCCACACAGCCTCAGAAGTAACCACTATGAAAGCAACAAAACAGATATGTGCAAAAATTTAAAAGTATTTTATGACTTAGAATATATCTATCTTGTCTTCTATATCTTTAAATATATGGGATTCTCCCCCTGAATCTTTTCTGGTTGATAAGGAATATAAACAAAAACAACAAAAGATTACAACTTCATAGAGTCTATTTTCAAAAAGCTTATGGATATTTAGTGTCTAAGGCACTTGACTGCTGACCAGAAGGCTGGCGGTTCAAACCCACCAGGCACTCCTTGGAAGGAAGATGGGGCAATCTACTTCCGTAGTGATACTGCCTTGGAAACCCAAGGAGGGGTCGCTATGAGTTGGGTTCGACTCGATGGCACATAACAACAACAACAACATGGATATTTAAATCATTGAAGTAGAAACAGAATAGGTAAAGCAAATTCTCAAAAAGAGAATCAAAACCCACATAGGTCCAGATTTTCAAGCAAGGTCCTCTAGAACACAGGTATTCCATAAGCACTAATGAAGGGTTCTGTCAATCTAATCGAATGACGACAGAACTCAATTTGCAGAAAAATTTTGAGTTCTGATCCCTATAATTTTTCTTGAAATTCTAGTTACTTCTGTCTGCTGCTTGAGTATTAGCTGGTGTCAACAGCCACCCAAATTAATGAACAAGCAGCAAATAGATACATTAATGGAAGACCTCCAAATACTGCTCAAGCAAATCATTTGTTTTCTTCAGTGTACCTGACTGTGATTTTATTTTGCCTGCAGATAAGAGTGTCATTATTCCTCTAACAGAAAAATCATCCTTTATATGATATCATTAACTATCAATATCGCAGAGTTCACAAGGAGGCAAGCAGCTTCCAGGTGTTTGGCAACCTAAATGAATTTGAGAAACATTGATTTAGGAAAGGAGACTAAGTAATTATTTCAGTACTCTTGGTAGTTATTTCTTAGTACTGAACAACTCTTTGGACTGAACAACTCAACTCTTTGGAAGTGTCCTGGCAGTCAAGCCTAAAAAGAACACCATGAAAGAATGGCACTTATTAGATGACAAAACCAAACCTGTTTCTGTAGAAATGATTCCGACTCATGGAGACCCCACTGTGTTACAGGCAGAACTGCTCTATAGGATTTTCTTGGTTGTAATCTTTACAGAAGCAGATTATCAGGCTTTTCTTCTCAGGTGCTGCTGGGTGGGTTCGAACTGCCAACTTTTAGATTAATAGTTGAACGTAAACCATTTGTACCACCCAGGGACCTGAAGGAAGTTATGAACACCCTCCCCAAACAAAAGCATACACACACAAAATCTGCACATACATTTAGAGGGGATGAATCATAGACCATCTTCTTCCAGTCTCAGCAGTTGAGACAATTCACCATTGAGCTCAATAGTGACTGCTTGGGCAGGATTCTGCATTTTTGATCACCACTTATTCCACCAAGGAAGCCAACTGGTGCCTTTACAGAAGACTTGACATTTCTGAATTTTTACACAGAATACTGGGAAAAACTGATAACCAGGTATTTACCCCACAGCCCACTCTCTAAAAGCTATGTGACAAGAACTTATTAAAATAAAAAACTCATCTACAATTACTCAACATGCTGCAGGAAGGAAAATTTCAACACATTTTTGAACAAGCTGTACCAAAGTGGGAACTGAATGGTGAATTGAAATAAATTGTGCAAACAATTCTCTGATCTTACAAACTTAAAAGTGCTTCATTTCTGGCTCCCTCCTGAATTTGCTTCTTGGGTTAGCAGCCCCCTGTAAGGAAGCTTTCTTTTGCTACAACAAAAGGGTAGAGAGAAAGCTAATGTAGGGGACAATGCTACAAGCCACATGTTCTAGGAAGCTGCCAATGATATGTAACTACCACTTGCCTCCACAGTGGGGCTTCCAACTAAAGCTGTTCTTAGAACCCTTATAAGCCCACTCTAAGGAACTCTCGTGGTGCATTGCCTAAGGCATTTGACTGCTAACCAGGAGGTCAGCAGTTTAAACCCACCAGCCCTCCACACAAGGAAGATGGGGCAATCTACTTCTGTAAAGATCTACTGCCTCAGGAACCCATTGTGCTTGCTGAGTTCGAATTGACTCTATGGCATTGAGTTTGGTTTGGTTTTTTGGAAGCCCCCTCTGGCCACCACTGGGAGTTCTTAATCATTACGCCTCTTTACCATCTCACTAATCATCAGCTGACAAGGTTAATCCTTTGGTCAACAGGCAAATAAGAACCGTAGGTGTGATGGTTAATGTTATGTGTCAACTTGGCTAGGCGATGGTGCCCAGTGTTTGGTCAAACCTTAGTGTAGATGCTGTTATGAAATACTTACATGTGACTATATCAGGTGGCTTTAAGTAAAGCAGATTACCCTACATAATGTAGGTGGGCTTTATCCAATCAGTTGAAGGTCTTAAGATCAAACAGGGACTTTTCCCTAGGGTATATCTTACTATAAATACTATAAATAGACATTTTGCCAGAACTCCCCGACTCTTTTCAGGACTGACCTATAGATCTTGTCATCACAAGACTAGAGGAATCTCTAGCCTATCACTTGACCTACAGATTTTGGACTTGACAACCCCAGTTGCTTGAGTCAATTCCTAAAAATAAACCTCTTTCTCTATATGTGTATCTATCTTACTGGTTCAGTTTCTCTAGCAAACCCTAAGACAACAGGTTTAAAAAACTGAGCTATTGTTTAGTAACTGTCCCCACAGTCTCTGAGGGAAAGGGTATTAGAAATGAGATACTAAAAGAAATTGGGCAGGACGCATTTTATTTGCTGGATAACAGAGGTAAATGTAGACTAATCAGAAGTTTGGAACAAAAATTAAAGATGGGTTTTGTCTTCTATTAATAATTGAGAATATTTGAAAAATCTTCTCTTCTATATAATGATGCAGTGTCTCTCTCCTTTTGGTCTGTAGTAAAGTAATGAAGAACAAGTTTCCTGAGATGGTCACCAGACTGTCAACAAGAATGGTTTTTCTTATTTTTATCTCCATGAGCTAATGTTTGTAGATGAGCAGATGAATTGAGATTTCCTAGGCCACGGGGTACTCCTGAAATCACTTTTGGTGTTGGGAATCAGCATAAAGCACTTTGAAAGTCGTAGTATGATCCTCCTATACTCTTTTCAAACCCTTCAACTATAGCCCAATCAGATAGATTCAACAATTCCAACTGCTACAATATCTGATGAAAAGAAAATAGAATGTGAGAACCTCAACAGTGACAGCTAACACCCACCAAAAATCTGGAAAGCCAAAGATGAATCTGTTAACTGTTGTCATTAATATTAATACTGACACCTTAGTCTTATAATATTATGGCCTTACGCTATGAGTGTATCCATATGTTCCAGCAACACATGAATAAAATGCTTTAAAAACTGTTCCAACCAGGCTATCTAAAATATATATGATAGGAGCCAGTCCAATAAATATCTTATAAATACTGACTTCTTAGGCAAAACTAAGTGGATTTACAAATATGCTTTCATTTGCATAATTCTACCCTGAGCATAAGTCAGATGGTCAGCTCTGGAAATAGTCTAGAAGGCACTAACCCCCAATGAACAGGTGGCACAAAGGATATCTTTGATTCTCTGAATCCTCGGTTAACAGTTTGAGGTCCAGGGTGCAGCTTTGGATCAGTTCATCTAGTTTCTTCTCTTCCTGACTGAGCTCAGTCACTTCTTTAGACAGGCCTTGGCATTGGGCCAGCATGCCCCCATCCTCAGACAGACTGCAGCCCCTAGGAATCCAAACAGAGACTCTTCATGGCTGCTCAGGAGAGGCCAGTGTGGGGGACAGAGGAGAGAGGAAGGAGAAACAGTCCTTTGGGCAAATGTCCCCTCTTGATATGACAGGTCACATTGCTTATTAGTCAAGTGTTAAAATTAGAACATTTAAGCCAATTTTTCCATATATATAATCCTTCATTTTTCACATCATAGGTATTAAGTGAAAAGACACTGCTATTTCCACTTTTCTCCCAGGGGCCTGTTTCTTCAGAAGGCTCAAATTCAAAGGGCAAAAAGGAGGGTGTTCCCTTGCCACATGGCTTCTAAGGCAAATAAAGGGGGAAAAAAAGGGGGGGGAAAGAAAAGATAGAAAGATATAGCATTTGAAAGACTGAATGGTTAAAATAAATAAATAAATAAATAAATAAATAAATCCAAAAGTACAAAACACTAAGGTCATCTCTGAGGGCTATATACCAACAACTATAAAGAAAAGAGGTAAAGGAAAGAGATGTATGTGTTGTATGCAAGAATAAAGACTGATACTCAATAAACTTCTATAAACCACCAGGTCAAAATGAGTTAGTGAACTGGCACAAAATTCCAAAAAGTACAAAAATGTTGCCTGTTTATATTATCACATTTGTAGTGGTTATTCCGCAAAAACCACGCCATCACGTTTTTATACCTTCCAATAATGTTTTTAATAGTTCAATACTGTCTTTATAAAATACTGTTTCGATGCTTTGTATATAATTTAAAAATTATTTTATATATTCAATTATGTGAATATACAGGTGGTAAGTATTACTATCCTGCTTGATTAAAGAAATGGAAACATTTAAGTCTTATCTTAATGTACTCAGAAAATAAATCAATCTGCTATTATAACTATAGATGAAGATACAGGCATGTGTGATTATGCTTACACACACAAATGACCCATAAGTCTTAATTTCCAAATTCCTACAGAGAGAATCCAAAGACATGTGTGTAAGCATCTCTCAGATTACACGTGTGAACACACACATAGATATCAACGTAACAGATGAGCAGCATTCTAGCTTACATTTCGGTATCATTTCATCCAAGAATCCCCTTGCTTGAGGCTAATTAAATTTCAACTCTTTTCTCTTTAATAATAAATAGGCAGGGAGTCTCTTTTTAAAGATTCTGCCTAAGAGATTAAGAAGGAAGGGAAGAGAGAATGACAGAGAAGAAAGGACAAGGCGAGAAAAGAAGTGTTTTGAATGGGAAAGCTGGAACTGAGAAAACCTGATGCAGTTTGGAACTATCCCATCAGATACAACAAATGGGGAGGCTGTGGGCTCATACTCACATCCACTGAACGTTGTTTTTAGATTTCTTCTTAATGAGGTGGATGCCTTCCAGGACATTGGTGATGTCATAAATCCTTCTCTTTTGCACTTTAAGCACCTCTGCCGCCTTGTTCAAATCCAAGACCCCATCGGGTGATTGGCTCAGTAGCTGAATGAACTTCTTGGTGAGCAGACCAAGTGACGTATCATATCGTGTTTTTTCTGAGGGAGATTTTGGAGCTTAAAGAAAAACAAAAACCGAGCAGGTGGGGGATAGGAGGAGAGGTAAAGAAATGAAGGGTGTCTTTGCAGTTAAGCAAGCCCTATGTCCCGCTGTAGCCCAAGTATTAGTATCAGAAGCAAAGCCGCTATTGCTGTTGCTTTTGGCAAGTTACAGAAAGCTATGAAATTGCTTTATTAGAAACAGAAGAGACAGTGAAAATTCCTGTGCTGGATTAAAGTACTTTGAAGTACTCAGTAGTTTCTATTTTGGCTTACCCTACTCCCTAGGGTCTAGTGAGTATCTCACACATAGTAGGTACTCAAAAATATTTGTTGAATGAACAAAAAGGGGCTGGGGTCTCATGGAATGAGCACCATGTGGGGCTTAACCCACTGGAGCCATGCTGTAATTTTCCAGCATCCAGGACAGGGGCTCAAACAGCCCCACTATAACTGGCCTATGTGCTTTGAGGGCCATACAGAGGCCCCATCATCTCTCTGTGTATAACTTATTCACCACTTTTTCAAATAATACTTTACTTAGATAGAGAACACCTGGAAATGTTTTTCTATTAAATTTCCCCATCTCTTGAATGAAATTTCCTAATTTAATATTGTACTTAATCTTGTATTAGATGCAGTGTATGGATTGCTAAATGTGCAAAGCACAGGAAAAGAAGAGAACAAAGTTTAATTTAGCCTTCACGTTAAATGCAAAAGACATAAAGAAACTATTTGGGTATTTCTAACCTACTTTTCTCTTTTCCCCAAAGCAGTGATGTGAGTTCAATGGAAAAGGAAACTAGCTGTAATATATTGATCTCAATCAATTCCTATCCTGCCATATGGTGAGCTAGGTATTTAGGTCAGCGCAGACATTGCTGCCTCTTCTAGATTCAGTTATCCTCAGACTATGAAGTCATGTCCATTAAGGAAAGTTAAAATTAAATTTCATTATACAACATTACCAAACAGCTTGTATTCTGAATTGAAAATCAAACTCCACACATTTAAAGAAGCCTCCCCTTAAGCCAGTATTCAGGTAGCTGAGTGACTAGGTGCCTGTAGACATTGTATTTATTTTCTTATTTTCTGGACAGACATAGAAAGAGATGCAAAAGAACGAAACATGTCAAAATCATTCACACCTTGGCATTCTTCCAGCCACAATCTTTGCAAGTTAGGAATCCCACACCGTCTTAGTTATCTGGTGCTGTTTTAACAGAAATACCACAAGAGCCTGGCTTTAACAAACAGAAATTTATTTTCTCACAGTTTAGGAAGCTAAACGTCTAAATTCAGGGTGCCAGCTTCCACAGGAAGGCTTTCTCCTTCTGTCAGCACAAGAGGAAGATTCTTGTCTCTTCTGAGCTTCTGTGCTTAGACATCTTCATGTGGCTGGAATGTCCCTTCCCAGTCTTTCCTTGCTTTGTTGTTGTTGTTGTTATGTGCCATATAGCAACCCCTCCTTGGGCTCCCGAGGTGGTATCACTACAGAAGTAGACTGCCCAACCTTGCTTCCGAGGAGCGGCTGGTGAGTTTGAACAACCAGCCTTCTTGTTAGCAGTCAAGTGCCTTAGGCACTACACTACCAGAGCTCCTCACTAGCTTGTGTTTAATCTCTTTTATATTACAAAAGACACTGACTCAAGAAACAGCCAGTACTATCCTATGTCATTAATATAACAAAGGCAACCTATTCCCAAATGAGATTATAACCACAGGCATAGATGTTAGGGTTACAGCACATAGCCTTTTGGGGGACACAGTTCAATCCTTAACATTCCACCTGTTGGCCCCCAAAATTCACATCCTTTCCACACGCAAAACACATTCGCTTCATCACATCATCCTAAAAGTCTTAAACCAACTCCAAGTCCAAAATCTCATGTTCTGAATAATCTAACGCAAACATGGGTTAGACATTAGGCATATTCTATCCTAAGGCAAATTCCTCTTCATCTGTGAAATCTAGATTACAAATTATCACTTTGCAAAATATAATGGTAGAGCAGGCACAAGGGTAGACATTAGCATTACAAATGGAGAATTTGGAGGGAAAGAAGAGATAGTGGGCACCAAACAAATCCAAAACCCAGTAGAGAACAATTTACATTAGCTCTCAAAGCTTGAAAATAATTCTCTGAGGCCATCTGAGCAATGGCCCCACCCTCCGGACTCTACATGTTGGCCATGCTCTCTGGATTCTGGGTGGAGGCCCTTCAGCTCTGGGCTTCAGTTCTGCCTTCAAAGTCCACTGGGACAGAAACTCTGCTCTCTTGACTTTGGCCGGCCCCATTCCCCTAGTCCATCTGAGTGGTGACTCCACCCCTCAGTCCTGGCAGTCCCCAATCTTCTGCCCCTTGGGCATGGCAGCCTTGCCCCCTCACCTTTGGGCAGTGGTTCCATCCTTTTGGCCAAATTGAATGGCAGTCCCACACTCTGGAACCGAGATGGTGAATATGATTGTTTGAAACCCAGGAGGCCATGGTTCTACCCTTTGAGAGGGCAGAGGCCATGGTCCCACCCTCTGAAACGTAGGCAGCTCTGCTTCCCGTGTTCTTTCCAGCAGTTCTGCTGATCTCCAAGCTGCTCCAGGGATCTTTCTTCTCTTTTCTTGGAAGACAACAGATGTAGCTCCTTGGACCTGTTTCCTGCTTGTAGAATTCCAAGAAGCAGACAGCATTCTTTCCTTTTGCTCTTTCTGTCCCCTTCAGTCTCAACTGATCGAGTTTTCTGCTGCAGTAGTTGGTTAGATCCATCAGTCACAGGCTTAATCTCTTTAACAAAAAATCGGGTAGTCATATGTTTGATGAACATTCTGGGACACATGTCCTTAGTCTGTACAACAGAAAATTTCAGTTCTTTAAGTTCTGTTTTCACTTTGCACAGTTCATTTTTAAGACCATCTCTTTCCTCTCGCATTTCACCATAAGCAGCAAGGAGAAATGACGTGGACCCTTGGCTTACAAATCTCATCAGCCAGATACCCAAGTTCATCACATACAAGTCCTGTCTTCCACCAAACATTTAAACATTAATTCAGACATTTGAACATAATTCTTTGCCACTGCATAAAAAGCATCACACTTCCTCCACTGTCCAATCACACATTCATTATTTTGTTTTAAAGTCTCACTAGAAGCACATTTAATATCCATATTTCTAGCAACATTCTGTTTCTGGCGCCATATGTATTAAGACAATAGAGACTTTCTTTATACCTCTAGTTCTGAGCCCTCATCAGAATCACCTTTGATGTCCATAATTGTACCAATACAATAGTCTCTTCAAAGCAATCTAGGCTTTTACTATAAGGCACCTTAGAACTCTTCTAGCCTCTACCCATTATCCAAACCCAAAACAGCTTTAATTTATTTGTTAGAAAAGCACTCCAGTGTTCTGACACCAAATTCTGACTTAGTTATCTAGTGCTGCTATAACAGAAATACAGTAAGTGGGTGGCTTTAACAAACAAAAATTTATTTTCTCACAGTTTAGGAAGCTTGCAGTCCAAATTCAGGGTGCTGGCTCTAGGGGAAGGCTTTCTCCCTCTGTCAGCTCTGGAGGAAGGTCACTATCTCTTTAGAGCTTCTGCTCCTGGGCAATCTTCATGTGGCTTAGCACATCTCCTCCCAGACTTGTCTTGCTAGTTGCATTTCTCCTTTCTAGCTTGTGTTTAACGTCCTTTATATCTCAAAAGAGAATGACTCAGATACATCCTATAGTAATCCTGTCTCATTAATACAAGAAAGAAAAGCCATTCCCACATGGGATTTTAACCACCAGCAGGGAGGTTAGGATTTATAGCACATACCTCTGGGTGACACAGTTCAATCCTTAACACACACCAAACAGAATAAGAAAAGAGATGATAGGACCCTTACTTTTTGGACTATCTGGACTTCGGAGTGCAGCTCTTCCTTTGCCCTTGGGGGTTTTTAAACCATCTGAGAGGTACTGATGACCACTTTCTCCTAGCTCCAGCCTGCGCTTTGCCTGTAATAAGAAAATACAACCATTTATCACTGGTCATATGACAATAACAAGAAGTGAGGATGTTTGTGATATGGCCCCTCCAAATGCTGTGGCTCATCCCAACCCTTGCCACCTCTGTTCCACCTCATTCACCAACCTGTCATCTTCAATAGTCAGGGATCTAGCTCTGGAGTCTGGACCATCACACAATCTCTGTTCACCTGAAACACCATCCTTCTACCCTCAGATTGATAAATCCCACTATCCTTTAGGATTAGGTTCAGGAGTCACTTTGTTTATCTATTCATTCCTTCAATATACATGCCAGGTAGAGGACTAAATCTAAGAATACAGCAGGTTCATGGAAGTGAATACACTTCTCCCCAGAGTCCTTCTCCAGTCCATGTCCTAACTTCTGATCTGGGTTGGATCCCCTTCCCTGTTCCCTCCAAACAGTGTGTTTATTTCTATCATAACACTTATTGGATATATTGTTAATGTTACTTATCTGTTTCTCATTTTCTTAAAGACAGGGACTGCTTCTCATTTATCTTTGTACACCCAATGCCTGACACAGAGCCTGGATTTCTATAGGTATTCGATCATTCAATAAATATACTCAGTGAAAGACAGAGCAAGTGAATAGTAACATAGTAATACTATTAATGACCATTCGTTAGCCAATATTGCAAACACTTAATCTTGGTCTTCAACTAGTAATAATAATTTCCCCATTTTGTCATCAAAACTGATAGATGAGAAGTTCTCACCTATTTCTAATTCAATTCGATTTCACTTTTGAAATCTCCTATCAGTGAACTTCCATGTACTGGCCACTGGGCTTAGGGAACTGAGGTAAGCAAGGCAATGATGGCCCTGCCTTCATAGGGCTTAGAGTCCAAGAGAGAAGGCAGATAAAATTAGACTACTAACAGTTAAGTACTAACAGTATATATGTGCTGGGCATTAAGCAAGGAGAAGTGGTATCAACTAGACAATAACCTGTTGCTGTTGTTATGTGCCGTCGAGTCAGACTCAACTCATAGAGACCCCTCCTTGGGTTTTCAAAGCAGTATCACTACAGAAGTTGATTGCCCAACCTTCCTTCTGAGGAATAGCTGGTGGAGTTGAACCGCCAGCCTTCTGGTTAGCAGTCAAGTGCCTTAGGCACTATGCTACCAGAGCTTCCAGACAATAACATAGTGGTATGCAATTAGGCCCATTTCAGGGCAGATTGTTTTAATGAGTAGATTTGTAATTTCCAAGTAACTCACCATGATTTAGAATCACCAGTAAAGACTTATCCCTTTGATGACAGATATCTACCTTCTCTACAGAAAGCTGTCAGCTAAACCTGTGCTGTTGAATATGATAGGCACTAGTCAGTCATATGTGGCTTGTGAAAACTGATGTGCACTGCAAATGTAAAAATATACACTGGGTACCGAAGACAGTATGGAAAACCACTACCACTACCGAGGCCACTGAGCAGTTCTGACTCATGGCAACTTCATGTATGTCAGAGTAGAACTGTGTTTACAACGACTGCTTTTCTTGGAAGTAGATCTCCAGGTCTTTCTTCCAAGTCACCTCTGGATGGACTGAAACCTCCAACATTTTGGTTAGCAGTGAAGAACATTAATGGTTTATAACTCTCAGAACTCCAGTATGAAAAAAAAGGTGAAACAGCTCAATCATTTTTATAATGACTGTGTTAAAATGGTATTTCTGCTACATAAAATAGTATTAAATAAATAAATAGTATTACAGTCAATGTCATCAGTGTCTTTTTTCTGGAAATGTTGGCAAGAAGTAGATGTGTCCTCCTTTAAAAAAAATAAACTCACTGCCAATTCAGACTCATAGCAACTCCCATTGGGTTTTTAAGGCTGTGAATCTTTATGGAAGCACACTACCCCATCTTTCTTCCAAGGAGAAGCTGGTGGGTTCAAACCACCGACATTTTGGTTAGCCAGATGCCTTAATCACACCACCACCAGAGCTCGTTGTGTCCTTGTTGTTGTTGTTATGTGCTGTCGAGTGGGACCTGACTCATAGCGACCCCTCCTTGGGTTTCTGAGGCAGTATCACTAGAAGTAGATTACCCAACCTTCCTTCTGAGGGGTGGCTGGTGGGTTTGAACCGCCAGCCTTCTGGTTAGCAGTCAAGTGCTTTAGGCACTATGCTACCAGAGCTCCTGTATCCTTCTTAGTAGGGCTGATAAGCAGGTAGCCTGGAGGTCTGAGGATAGAGCCTCCACAATGGGAAAGGAGTGGAGAGATACAGAGGGAGAGTCTGAGTCTGTCATTCCAAGCTATGAGGGCAACAGCTGATCTTCTCCCAGAATTTTTAGTTCCTTTAGCCATAATGACCCCCTTTTTCCTTAAAGCAGTTTGCATTGGGAATCTGGAAGTGTTGTGTTTAAAGTGCCTCTGGGTAGACTTGAACCTCCAACCTTTTGGTTAGCAGCCAAGTGCATTAATCGTTTGCACCACCCAGGAACTCCTGGGTAAGACTGTAACTGACAGCCTATGGAACTGGCTGAGTCAAGATGAGCCATGGTGTGATGGGGAGCTGGCAAGTCTTGTTAAAGAGTGAGTGGTAGGATTCTAGATTGTGCTGGCCACTTCTTGTGACCTTCACGAAGGTATTTGAGCTTGGCTCATCTAAAAGTAGGCAATGGAGGAAAATAGCTTTGCTATAGAGGCCTTTTCTCTTCATAGAAAGCAATCCAAATTCAGCCCAAACTAAAGTCAACAGAAGGGAGGCAAAACTGGAGAAGAGTCTGAGACCTAGAACTCGAGTCCCTCAGGCTGTGTGTTCTCCTTGAGCAGTCACAGTAAAGAACCACCCACTGGCCAGAAGCCTGGGGCACCCAGCACCCCACCCCACGCTACTGTTTCAGATTACTCAGAGGCAAAGGCCTATGGAGGCATTAAGCTGGAGGTTAGGTACATTCCCAGAGGAAATTCCCAGACTGGACTCTAACTTCAAGGACCTTGAGTAGTCAGGACATGTGACTTTGGTTACCAAGCACCAAACCATACAGTTGACCAAATCGAAATTACAAACAAACCAAACTCTTTGCTATGCAGTTGATTATAACTCATAGCGACCCAATGAAACTGGCCCATAGGGTTTCCAAAGTTGTAATCTTTATAGGAGCAGATTGCTACATCTTTCCCCTACAGAGTGGCTGGGGAGTTTGAACCACTGACCTTTCAGTTAGCAGCTGAGTGCTTAACTATGGCATCACCAGGGCTCCTTCTAAGACTAAACACTATATACAAAATCTATTAAATTTTAAAGCCATTTATCAACAGACCACATGTTACTGTGATGCCAGAAGCTATGTCACCAGTATTTCAACTAACAGGTCACCCATGGTGGACAGGTTTTTAGCAGAGCACTCCAGACTAAGACAGACTAGGAAGAAAGTCAATGAAAACAGTATAGATCACAACAGAAAACTGTCTGACATAGTGCTGGAAGATGAACTCCCGAGGTTAGAAGGCACTATATATACAAAGCCGTAACAATGGGCTCAAACATACCAACTGGGAAGACGATGCAGGATTTGGGTGAAAATTTACAGAGCAAATTCATTTTTCACAGTTTATACACATTTTGCTTCATGACACTGACTGCAATTCCCTATGATGTAACTAACAGCTCTCTTCCCGCTTCCTTCCTGTAGTTACCTCTTCCTGTGTGTGTCCTTTCCTATGCATGCCTGAGCCCTGCTCTATATCCCTATGCAAATACTGCTCTTCTGTTCTCCCATGATTGGGCATTCTAAGGAGTGTATTTACCTGATGTAAATGTTCACCCCACATGCCTGCCTATTGTTTGGTTGGAAGCCACAGGAATGAGTTCAGTTCCAGACCTGAAGGGTAACTAGGGGCCATAGTCTTGGGGTCTCATCAGGCGCTACAGGACCAGTAAACCTGGCCTTTTTTTTTTTTTTTTTTAAATGACTCTGAGTTTTGTTCCACATTGTTCTCCCACTCTGCAGGACCTCCTGGACTGATCTCTTTCTGAGTGGTTGGCAGTGGTAGCTGGGCCATCTAATTCTTCTGGTCTCATGGTCATATAGGCCATGGTCACATAGGTGTGCATAGTTCACTAGTCCCTTGGACTAACTGTTTGCATGTGTCTTTGGTTTTCTTCCTTCTTGTTTGTTTTGGATGAGGAGAGAACCATTATTGCATCTAGATGGCTCTGTGCAAGCTTTGAAGACCAGGACAGGAGAATTATTTTGTTCTGTTATACATCAGGTCACCATGACTTGACTGCAACTAACAACAGCAACAACTTATTGCCAGAAAATCCCTGAGGCCTATGATGTCTCAGTCTCTAAGAGAATTAATCATTAAGCCCATAAATCTTTATCAAAAAGAAATGAGCTGTTGAAAGAGAGGCAGCTCCAGAAAAACCTCCCTGAAGACAGAACTCAGGGAGGCTGCAATGGCTCTACAGGCAAGTCATGTCTCCATGGAGGCACCAAATGCTCACATCCGGTTCAGGAGGACAGAACAAATGTGTTATTTCTCCTTTTTCCAAATGGAAGTTTCTGTTGGGTTCTTCTGTTAACTTTCCACCACTGTGCAGTGGATGGAGGAGGGAGGGCTGAATGGAGGACCACATAGACCTGCAGAGCCTAGATCTGAAGACAGATGCAATAACTGGACTCTTTTGAGGAAAGACTGAATATTTTGATACATGAAGGAACAGCATCATTTTATTATTTAGCTTACCAAATTCAAGTACACATTCTTAGCAAAACAAGCCAAAAACAAACACAAAATGAGATGGAAGAATTTAAGTAATGCAGGTGATCTGAGTCAAAACACCTTGTTCTTGACTGAGCTCTAGGGCAGATGGAAATCTCTCTCAGTTGTCTCAAGTTTTGTTTGCTCACAGTGTGAACATCTTGCTGATCAGACTTATTTTACTCTTTACAAAAGATCTCCCACATGGCACTTCCCAGCAGTTTTTTCATAGTTAACTTTTACTACAAA